TTTGAAAATGTAATTTTGGTTTTATTGACTGACTTTTGTGGCATAGCTATCCCAAAGCAATTTTGCCTTCACAATCAAAAATATCTAATGTGTTAGCAATAAATGTGTACAATTTAGTAGTAGACCACATAGCCCCCTGGGCATGTGAAAAACAATGTTGTTTTGTAGTATCTATTACTCGATTTTAGTACAAACTCTCAGGTGGCTACTTCTAAGGAAAATAGTATTTTCCTAGGTAAATTAGTATGGCATCTCGGGGGGTGAAAAGTGACTCACCATCATAGAATGTTTCATTGTGTGTTAAGATTTTATTTCTTTGTGTATACAAGTTCTTGCAAGTGTTGGAGGCCTCTACACTTCCGTTGTGGTCAAGTACACAGACAACATCATGAAGGGCTTTTCTGCGGCAGCCGCCATTGTCCTTTCTACCATCGCTTCAGTGATGCTGTTTGGGTTACAGATAAGTAGGTCTTCATTTGTATTTTTAAGTTTTTAACATAGAAGAGCTTCCCACTTGTTGCCTCATTTCATCTGTTCTTAAATGTGGCAATTGGTCATAGTGTTTACCTAAATTCCTTGTTTTGTTACAGTTTCTAATTGTATGAGATATGGGTCACCGGTACTGAGGTGATTGCAGTGGTCCTAGAGCTTATGCTGGGGGGCGCTGGTTTTACTGAAAATGAGAGGGCTACTGAGGAGCTCCTTTGTAGTCCCCAGGTTTGAGATACAAAACAACTTGAGTACTTCTTACTTCTGGGTGAATATAGTGTCATTAGGTATGCAGGGAAATGAATACAAGGACTTTACTGTAATTGCACTGCTGAAAACAATCATTCCCTAAACAAGGCTTTCTATGATGAGGAAAGAATAGAAGAAAAATTTTTTTTTAAGATTTTATTTATTTATTTGACAGAGACAGCAAGAGAGGGAACACAGGCGGGGGAGTGTGAGAGGGGGAAGCAGGCTTCCCACGGAGCTGGGAGCCCGATGCAGGCCTCGATCTCAGGACCCTGGGATCATGAGCTGAGCTGAAAGCAGACGCTTAACAACTGAACCAGTCACGTGCCCCAAGAACAGAAAATTCTTTCATTTCCTCCTGAGTTTGTACCTTCCTAACTTTTGGACTTGGGTATTAATTGGTTTTGAAGCAAAATCGAAATCTAAATTTCATTTAATATGTAACTAATACAAATTTCAGTACCGTACCTGGCATTCTGGCGCCCTCGCTATGCTAGTCCTTCTTATATATATATATATACCCCTAGCCCACACCCAGCATTAGGTTTATTTAAGCAGTGATGTTGACTTAACATTTCAAAGTGCTATAATAATCATTTTCTTTACTGATCAATTATACCTCAGTCTGTTAAATATTGACAAAAAAAATTCAGTCTTTTGAATAAATATAAATGCAAATAGAGAAATGCCAAGCCTGTAATCTTAAAAAACCATTTCATAGTATGGTTTAAATCCTGCCTGTACTATTTATTAGTTGTGCAGCCTTGGGGAAGTTACTTAACCTGTGTCTTAGTTTCTTCATCTGTAAAATGGGACTGACAGGATCACCCATCTGCTAGGGTTGTTTCAGGTGAAGTGCTTAGAATAGTGCCTGGCACACAGTAAGTATTCCATATGAGGCCAACCACTTACCATTTCGGTATCAGTATTTATAGGTCCTCTCTTCAGATATATTTCTTAGCTGATTTGGGTGAACTTTTAATTGTAGTTCTGATCCTTCCTTAGCTGAACAAATCCTTATGCCTTTGTTCCTAAGGAATACTTGGGAACATAAAAAAATGCTTTTGGTCAGTGTTCTTACTGATGGTCAAGGAAATTAATTAGAACATCTTAGCAATCTTCCAGGTTTCTATTTAGATTTTACTTACTCCCCTTTTTTGAAGGCAAACCTAGTCTTCTCTAGTTAGGAGTGAACTGAAATCACAGCTTGATATCATTTCTCTTTTTTTTTTTTTTTTTAAAGCTAATGAGATTGTGATGTACTCCCTATAGAATATAGAATACAGTTCCGTTTTAAACAGACTGTACAGTTTTGACACAGATTTTGACATAAGTGATTATGCATAAAATGCCTACTTGTCAAGTTTGGACAAGCTGTATGTAATTGCTCATGTCCTAATTTTCAGGATTAAGATTTTTAAATAAAGCTAACAGAAAATGGAATTGTATTCAGTAAATCACCACCTTATCTCTTATTAGGAAATCTTCACTGGTTTGAGTCATTGGTCATCTAACTTGGAATTTTGCTCAACTACCTTTTATTCTAAACTTCTACAGGTTTTTATTACCATGGAAAAGCCACATTCCACTGCTTTTCCTTAAATTAGTATATAGGGAAGTTCGTATGCCTGTCCTGGACCACTGACAAAGACCATACTTGTCTTCTTGAAAAGCATGTAGTCAGTCCCTTGATTGTACTTTTTTTGGCAGGGGGTGGGGGGATGGTTTGAGGGATGGGGATCTAGACTTGATTATAAACCTTACCATCATAAAAATAGAACACTTAGATTTATTTTTCATATGGTCTCATGGTATAAAACCTGTAACTGAAAGGTTTCAAAATTTAAAATTGATTATTATATTGGGGCGCCTGGGTGGCTCAGTCATTAAGCGTCTGCCTTTGGCTCAGGTCATGATCCCAGGGTCCTGGGATCAAGCCCCGCATTGGGCTCCCTGCTCAGCGGGAGGCCTGCTTCTCCCTCTCCCACTCCCCCTGCTTGTGTTCCCTCTCTCGCTGTCTCTGTCAAAATAAATAAAATCTTTAAAAAAAAAAATAAAATTGATTATTGTTATAGTTTTTAAGGACACAAATACATATTTAAGCTTTTTTTTTTTTTCTTTTCAGCACTCACCTTTGCTCTGGGCACTCTTCTTGTATGTGTTTCTATATATCTCTATGGATTACCCAGACAAGACACTACATCCATCCAACAGGGAGAAATAGCTTCAAAAGAGAGAGTCGGTGGTGTGTGATTTCAGCCTCAAAAGCGATTCCTACCAAGACTAAAACTATTTGCATTAAACTAGAGCCTTAAGTCAATCCCAGAAGGTAGCTTAAACAAAAAATAATACGTTAACTGTGTCATAAGAATTAAGAAGAAAACTATCTGAATTGCTACAAAGATTTAATGTGGCCTGTTTTGGGTCAACCTGTTTTAGAATGAAAAGAATTTTATTATTGTACATATAATGTATATAAAAAGTATGGGGAGGTGTGGTGTTAAAAAAAAAAATCACGTGAGGATACAATATTCAAGTAACAGGTTTGGGACAAGGTTAAGGGTTAAAGTGCCAAAGCCATTTCTGTACGAACTGTTTTCTTGTTCAGGTACCAGGGGAGAAGGACGACCCCTCCTTGTTCTCCAATTCATGTACAGTATTTTCATCCCAGCAGCAAAGACCTAGCTCTTTTCTTACAAAAGACAGGCAAAACCAAGATAGGCTAGTTCAGAAACAGACTGAATGTGTAACTTCTCAAACTGAATCTATTTCATAATGCAGACAATGACTTCTAGGTGGTGAATGAGTACTCCTGTAAGTGCTGTATTTGTGCCATTCATTGTCTGGATTCATGTTTCTTTGCGGTTAGATGATCTACTTTTCTTCAGAAAATATTTCTAATGTCACTTTTGTACTTTTTTTTATAAAGTATGTTTAAAACTACTGGGCTGTCAATAATTTGTGAAATTTCAGTGTTTTTAAAAAAATTTTCTATGTTAATGGGAAAATTCAGCAATAAACTTTATTTATATGGAATCTATGAACACTTTTTGTATTGTGATTATAACCATTGTGATAATGCAAAATGTAAAAAAAACCTGGAACATTAAATTTTTCATTTTTTCTATGTTGGAATTTTAGGGTTCTTTGGTTGCATATAAATCAATCAACTCTTGGCTAGCCTTCAGCAAAAACCAGAGTTTATAAGGACTACAATCAGGGCAGTAGGGCTCTAGGTTGTAGGAGATGATAATGTATGATCTTTTCAGGGAGCTGCTTTTGGAAAGACTGGGCTCTAACCATCACTGTCCCCGTGTCGTTTCACTCAAGATTCAAATACTGAGGTGACTACCACAGATCTGGGAAGGGGAACATTTTTCCAGACAAGTAGAGAAGGATATAGGACATGAAAAACATGTCCTGACTGTACATTTTTATTCCATGGCTGGTTTGTGCTAACGAAATGATGATACTTTAAGTAAAAATTAGTATTCTGGAAGCTAACGCATTTAAAATTGAGACTGCGTGGACAAGTCTTCTCTAGGACTAAGAAGGTGTACCATACTTGCCAATATAAAACTATGTTCATTCAACTAGAGAAGCTTTGGTTCATGCTAATTTGCTTCTCTATTCGTAAAAGTAGATGGTAATAATTTAGAATAAATGATAGCAGTCTGAAAGGAAATACTGGCAGATGAGGATAGCCGTACTGACTGAACAGACCACATCCCACTTAACCAAATCATACAAAATATCCTTGACCAATATGCAGGTACATGAAAGAAATGGTTTGAGAAACTCCATTTCAAATTCTGGTTTGACTAACTTTTGTAAAAAGATCCTAGTACAATATGCGTACAAGTAGTTCCTTGTGATTCCAATCTATTCAGTTCCCAAGTTCATGCAGTAAGAGTTACCTGTACAGATCAATGAAAGATAAGCATGAGATCTGTTCTCTGGGAGTGGCTGTCAACTGTACAGGCAAAGAGGTTTTATTCTGGTCTCCCTAAATTGGTTCAGAACTAGCCGTTATTATAAGAAAACAAACTGCTTTTATCAATTTTACCTTATGCAAACATGAAGTAATCTCACTTATAAGAACAGTTTCGGGAAGAATGACGCGGTGAAAACCTCAAGCTGGAGCTTAAAGTCTAATCTTTTATCCCCATTAGACTGCAGTGAATTTTAGAAGATTTGGGTTAGTTTTATAAAACTCTGTTTAGCACTTAACTGACCAGCAGGGAACTCAAGTGATTTTTTTTTTAGATAAAGATTTAATAAGTTGATAAATCACTTAGGCTTACTAAAACAGATTCTGATACAGAAACAGTTTAAATTCTAAACAAGGCATATAAGAATAGATAACTAGAATTCACTCGGTATTTAGAAAGCTATTTTAATTAGAAATTACATCCTACATACAGGTGTTATTCCAAGAAGTTTCATTCCATTGGCTAGGACAGAACGCACAGCTCTGAAAAGATGAAGTCTGGCCTATGAAATAAAACAATGATTAAATGTTCAATTCAACAACAGGCTAACTATAAGTGAATAAAGAACATTTTTAAAAGTAATTCTAACTTTCTTCTAATTTAAAGTAGGAACAGTATCTCAGAGTGCTCCAGGGTTTGCTGTTGGCAAGGGAAGACAAATTCCTAGCATTCCTTATAATACGACTGGTACCCAAGAGCTGGGGAGTGGGAGTGACGGTATCATGATATCCGAAGTATAGCTCCAGATGAGGGGAACTCCTCACCTGAACACTTGATGTAGGAAGATGCGTTTCATAGTCCAGTGTTGGAAAGTATATCAACACTGATTGTTACAGTCCAATTCTAATTACCACCTGAGTCCATAAGTACACTACTGTAGCCGAACCACAAGATGCTATTTTAGGAACACTTACAAGACTGCCTCAGTAACATTAACTGGAGGATGTAGAGATTACACAGAAAACATTTAGCATACCCCAGCCACTTCGGGAGGACTGTCTTTTATAAGCAGTGTCTTGTGTGCCATAGCAGCAAGATGACTGAAACGGGAAGAAAGAAATGATGAAGGCCAGTCGTCATTTCCTGTTGTAACACATAAGCTTGATATCTTACTCCCTCAACTTAAGGAAATCAAAGCCCAGAGCCAGTAAAGGATGTGTGCAACATTGAAGTTGAGACTTGAATTCACTGCTTTTCTGTAACAGGAAAAGTAAAACACATTAAACTAAAGCTTTAGATTCAAGTTCTTAAGATTATGATTTCACTGCTTCACAAAGATAGGGGATTCCTTTCTAAAGATTAGTTTTTCTCATTTAGGCATCTTTTAGGATGAAAGCTAGAACATGACCTGGACATCCCCGCTCTGTACCGTGAGGAGGCGGGGTAAGACTAGTTATCGGTCCACTGCACACACACTGCCCACTCTTAAGTATTTTTTCTGTTTAAGTAGAGCAGCAAATAGAACAATATGCTAGAGAAATGATGCTTCTGACATTCATTTCAATGATTAACTGACATTTAATTAGACTTTCTAGCTTCTTTATTTCTCTTTGACTAGGTAGAATTTAAAGGAAAAAAATTTATTTAAATCTGGAGAAGACAGGTAAAAAGGATAATCAAGAGAACAGTACCAATAAATCTGATTTCAGTAAATCATGACTAAAAGCAAATATTTCCTTTCTTAAATAGATTTATGGAAAGATACAGTTGCTGCTCTAGAAGGTACTCCACTTCTATTCAGAGTTTCTGAAACAGCTACTCAGAAATTCCTATTAAGCCGATTTGCCTTCCAGTTCATCCTCTACTCTCTAGCTTTTTCTGTCGCTGTTTCGTCTTTTTATGGACTCCACTGCCCTGAAAATAAGCTGAAATGCCTTAAAACATGCAAAAAGGCCTTGACACATTCATTTTTCACCCCTCCCAGGACCATGCTTGCAGTTCCATTAATGTAGCATGTTCTTGCTCCACTCTGGGCTTTTTCTTCTTTTTCTGCCACCTTGCTTCTCCTGATTAATATCGACTCCTCTCCTCCAAGAAGCCCTCTTTCATCCGTCAAGGCTGGGCTGAGTGCCCTAACACTGTCTCCTAGGTCCACTCTATCTGAGCACATATGTGCTGTTATGTAACTACCTGTGATGAAGCTGTTGGTTCCTATCACCAGACTGCAGTGACTGCACCTTGTATCACTGAATGAACATTAATTGCTGATTTGCAAAGATGAAGCAAGAATTCCTGTAACTTAAGGCTCTCATTTTTTAGGCCAAGGGATTTATTTATAGGAAAACTTTAGAAGAAACAAAGGTCCTTTGTCAGATCTGGTCTCTGATGTCTTTAACACCTGAAAACAGCAAGGTTATAAAGTACCTTAGAGTTAGAAGGTAACTGACAATGTGCCTGGGTTGAAGGTCCTGAGATGATCTACAAAGCACCTCGTCGAACCTAAAAGAAAGATGACAGGAAATTTGGCAAGGGAAGACTGCACATATTACACTAAGCTATTAAGATCTTGGATGTAAGGTTGATTGGACATCATTAAGAGTGGAAGGTATAGGAGTGCCTGGGTGGCTCAGTCGGTTGAGCATCTGACTCCTGAGGTTTCAGCTTAGGTTGTGATCCTGGGGTTGTGAGACTGAGCCCTGCGTCAGGTTCCTTGCCCAGCGTGGAGCCTGTTTAAGTTTCTCTCTCCTTCTCCCTCTGCCCCTACCACGCTCTCGCTCTCTCTAAAAAAAGAGTAGAAGGTATATGAAAAAAGACCTTGTGTGCATTTGAAGGTAAAGGCACATTTTTCTTTCCTACAAATTCCTTGATGGCAGGTACTTTCTACATCATTTTGATATCCTTTAGGCCTAGCCCGAAACAAGGACTCAGGCTGTTAAATTGAATGTAAAAAGCGTACAGCCATGTTTAGGACCATAATCTAGAAACTAGCAAACAGGGTCTACCTTCGATACCAAGAAAACCAGGTTGGCTTATTTTTTCTGACAAATTAGTCAAATGTGAGAAAACGGACTCCTCTGATCCCAGGAAAGAGCCACTGACCACTGTGTGGCAATCAGAGAAAACTGCCCTAACCACATCCTTTCCAGAGTCTACTATCTCCTGACAAATCTGGCTTCACCACCAATGCTTGTGAGAGCTCAAAGGTGTGGTCCCTTGCCCAGTGTCGGGGCATCAAGTAGATATCTGAGACTGTGAATGGAAACCATGAGGCAGATGAAGGACTTAATGGTTTCATGAAAGCTGCACACAGGCAGCGGTTTTCCTTCACTTATCAAAGAGGGTGAGGAGAAGATCTTTTCCAAAACTAAAAGTTTATGCTTTTACCAGGTTTCCATTCTCATACCATGACCTAGAGGATGTCAGGCACCTGTACTGATTCAGCAGTGATATTTTTAAGTCCCAAGGACTGACCTTAACTGTGTCCTCTTTTGTCCGCCTTCAAAGGGCAGGTAATCCGTTTCTGGCCAGACCTTTGGGAAAGTGCTGTCTGGTGGCAGGAGCTAGCTACTGGCTTGTTCACTCCAGTGGTCAGCAAACCATCAAGTCATTTCACTAAGCAGATGCAGACTCAATACTACTAGAAAACCATACCTGAGAAGATGCTGGAGAATGGAAACAGACTGTGGATCTTGTAAACAAGCAGTGTTGAAATCATTTAGATAACCACATCCAAAAGTCTCTTCCAAACTGTTATCAAAAGTTTAAAAACAACAAAGGATTAAACAAGTCATCCAACGACACATAATTGCAAGTTTGTCACAATGCCTCAATTTTTCCCAACTCTCTTTCTTCCTCTGAAAATGGGAGTATATTCTTTGGCAGAGTTATTCTGAGTATTAAATAAGATAATATACATAAAAACACTTCTTACAGAGATGCTCAATAAATATTTGAAAAACCAAACCTAACAGGTGGCCCACTGTACTTCTAACTAGTTTTGGATATGAGATACTGGAGAAGCCTAGCAAACAGGACCTTTGATCTTCAGAGCACACCAGCCCCGCCCCACCCTGGGAAGGACAGAGGGACTCAGCGTTTCCAGCAGACGCCCCTCACCTGTGGAGGCGGGCATGCGTGTACTGCAGGAAGACTCCTGTGTCCCCACGACTCTGGAAAACACGATCCCAGCTGAACTGATAGTCAGATAAGAGTAAACCTCTGAAGTCCTAGAATGACAAGAGTACATTTTTAGCACTGGGGTTTGTTCTAGTACCAAACAAAAGGGTCTCACAGGAGGCAGTCTTAACAGACCTGAATAATGAGTGCGGCGAGCCCGACCCTCTCTGCAGTCTGCTGTGGGTTCTCCAGTTCTTTGGTAGCTGGAACAGAAAAAGGGGCAGCTATCTTTAACTTACATGAAACTGTACAGAGTCAGAGATTCTGGTAACATCTGCCAAAAATGTATGCTGCCAGTAACAAATAGGTTCACAGTGGGCAATTTACTTCCCTAATTTGGGCTAATTTACCTTGGATAAAGACACTCCCCTGCCTACTACATAAAAGGAAAGAAACACAAATTCACATTTCTCATAAATATCCCTTATGAGACATTAGCTTAAAGCTGGTACTTACTTTTCCAAGGTTAAACAAAGCCCTGAATACTTTTGACCTGTTTCCTATAACATAACATGGGAATTTCAGATAACCACTCCAAGAGTGGAATGACAACGCTGAAGCTGTCCATATAAAGAGGCCCAGGGTCATATCAATTCAGATTATTGAACTGAATGACACCAAGCAGCAAGTCTAAAACCTCTCGCATCTCTAATTAGTGCGAGCTATTTTTGACAAGGTTAGTGAAAGTGAAGAGAGAGATGGTCAAAATCAATCGTGCTGCACAGAAGTCCCGCAAAACATCCAAGTGGCACATAAGTTATGACTGTTAACAACAGTAAAGTGAATTCACTCTTAATAGAAGCCATGTTCTGTAGCATCCTCGATCGAATCTCATTTAGAACATCTTCCAGAAAAGTAACATTTCCTCTTCGAGTCTTCATTCCCTGCACCACTCCAAAGGGCACGTGCTGGCACCTGAAATGGAAGAGAAAAGAACAGATGATCAAAGTGTACGATAATACCCTTTCACAGAGTAGTCTGAACTTCCAACTCTCTTAGAGGGACTTTTCAAAATTAATCAATTGAAATAAGATGTGATTTGTTATATGCCACAAAAGATGTTATAAACACACAGCTTCATTTTACAGAGATAATCACTATGATGTGATTAAATTACTAGTTGCCTTTGTGGAAAAAAAGGGATTAAGAATTTTGGAAATCAAGCCACTGAGAGCAGATGTCTAATAAAGACACATTTGTTAAATGTTTATAAGTTAGAAATGAATATAACCAGGACATAAGTCAATGTAAAAAACAAATCTGCTTCTACACTGATACCTTGAAATATATAAGTGAAATCTGGATGACGACCTTTAACAATTTGGTATATTTTGGGACTTGGCTGACCTAACAAATCCTTAATGATCTTGAACAGTTATGAACCATGCAGACATTACCTTTCTGCCCAGTCATATCCCATGATCTGCAGCATTTGGAACACCTGCTGAAAATGCTTTTTTTGCCCTTTATCTGTCTTGGAAAAAAAATATATATATATTTAAAATAACAATGATAAGTTAACCTACAAAAACAGGTGGGGCATAAATCAAAATATTTGAGTTTTGACACGCTAGAGTCATTGTCAACTGATGTATTTTAAATAAGTACACAAAGAAGATGCCAGTAGAAGGTCTAAGCTAAGTGCTCTACAAGAGGAGAAAGTAAAAGCTGTAGCAGTCCACTGAGTCAAGAGGAAATATGAACTTTAATCTCCTGAATATTCTATTTAAATTCTTTCTCCTTGAGCTATCATGACCTTTATCTCCAAGGACGAAGCTCAGCTCTAATAAGATATTTAAAGGCAACTTTTCTTCGGAGGGGAAAGGGAGGTTGCACATGGAGAGGAAAGAAAGGGAAGAGACCAGAATAACCCTCAGCAATAAAAGGGACAAGCTACTGATACACACAACAGCTTGGGTGGATCTCAAAGGCATTCATTATGCTGAGTGAAAAAAGCCAATCTCAAAAGATTACCTACTGTGATTCCATTTATATAACATTTTCAAAGTGACAACACTGTCGTGATGGAGAACAGAGCAATGGTTGCCAGGGGTTAGGGTAGAGGGTAAAGGGTAATTATTACGTGGTTGCCAAAAGGGAGTTTGTTTCATGATGGAACAGTTGTCTATGTTATGAATGTTATGATGGTTACGTGATCTACATGGGATACAATTTCACAAACCCCCCCCAACATGTCTAGGCCCACACACAAGTAAATGTAAAAATTGGTGGAATTCCTTTTTTTTAGAAGATTTTATTTATTTATTTTAGAGAGGAAGAGAGAGAGAGAAAATATATATATGTGCAAGCGGGGGGAGCGGCAGAGGGAGAGAGAGTGGGAGAGAAGCAGCGGAGCCTGATGCAGGGCTCAATCTCAGGACCCTGAGATCATGACCTGAGTGGGAATCAAGAGTCAGATGCTTAACTGATTGAGCCACCCAGGTGCCCCAAAATTGGTGGAATTTAAGGTCTTTACCAACGTCAGTTTCCTGGTATAGACAAAGTATGAAGGGTCCATTGAAACTCTGTACTATTTTAAAACTTGTGAGTCTTAAATATTTAAAATAAAGTTATTTTTTAAAAAGTGCATTATGGTAACCTGTACATATTCATTTTACATAACCATTTTCCTGATTTGGCTAATTTTTAAAAAATTATGATGCAATGTGAATGTTTTTACTTTTAAGTTTTTTCTTTTAACATAGTGGTTTCCACCTTAAATAAACTTAACACTGAATTCCTTTTATATTTTGACAAAATTATTTTTCCAGTTTTTCAACATGGTATATAATTTCTATCTTTGCAGTTTTCATCAGGTAGAGATCATAACCTTTTGTTTTTTTGTGATTACTTACCACATAAATCATTGTATCAAAATTATACTTGTCCATTCGATCTATAGCAGCTGCAAGATCTCTGAAAAAAAAAAAAAAAAAAGGCCATAGATTAATAAGAGTTACTAAGCAGATCTGGGTAAAAATTTGTTTTACCTATTTAATAGTAATGAGGCTTTTCTAATTAAGAAGTCCTATTATACCCCCTACTACCCATGATTATATAGTCCCAATACCATACTTTGATATAAAGTAATAGTAATAAAAAGAGCTTTGGGAAAAGCAATAATAATAAAAGTACTGTGGAAGATTAAAGAAACCAAAATAAATAATATAAACTCTGGGAAAAGTAGTAGTAACTAACTAAAATAGCTCTAGGCAAAGTGTCTGTAGGTAAATGCTTAATGATTTGTTAATTAAGCCCCTACTGGAAAGAATCACCTAAGTGTCACTTTTCTGCAGTATACCTTCTTTTTTTTCTTAAAGAACATATTCAAAACACAGGTGATGTGGCAGCTACACTGGTATCTTTTAGCTACTCTTTTTTTTTTTTTTTTTAAGATTTTATTTATTTGATGGAGAGAGAGAGACAGCGATAGAGGGAACACAAGCAGGGGACTCAGTTTGCATCCAGTATGAATTAATGAAAAACAGACCATAAACTATGAAATTGCAAGTCGAAATTACGAGAATACTGAAATTTAAAATTAAAGCTATTTTTGGTTAACAATATATGACATGGGAAGATTTCAAAAGTTCCTAGATCTTTTGAAATGTTGGGGATCATCAAAAAAAAAAGAGTAGCTTTAGTCCCCATCCTGTGATCCTAATATAACATAGAGCATGCATTTGCAACAGAGGCAAAAGCTGGCTCTTAAGGAACAACAATCTTTTTTTTTTTTAAGATTTATTTATTTTGAGAGAGAGAGAGCGTGCTAGCGGGGGGCGGGTGGGCAGAAGGATTGGGAGAGAGAATCTTAAGCAGACTTCGCACTGAGTGTGGGGCCAATGCAGGGCTCCAGTCTCATGACCCTGAGATCACGACCTGAGCCAAAACCAAGAGTCAGATGCTTAACTGACTGTGCCACCCAGGCGCCCCCAAATCTTACTCTTTTTATGTATAAAGCACATACATGCATATAATACATACAGATGTACAGGATATCTGTGATATTAAAATTTCATGAGGTGGGGAAGTAGGAAAAATAGGCTAAAAAGGTTCCTGACAGCAGGGCTACAATGAAAAAAAAAAAAAAAAAAAAGGTTGTGAACGCAAGTATAGATTATCCCCCAGATGAAGTCACAAATGTACACCCCTATTGGATTTTTGGTTTGGGCCAAGGACAAAACAAAGAGAAGGCTTTTGGTCCAATGAAATAAAAAAGAAGAATATAAAAAAAAGCTGTAGGGGCTCCTGGGTGGCTCATTTGTTAAGCGTCTGCCTTCGGCTCAGGTCATGATCCCAGGGCCCTGGGATTGAGCCCCAGGTTGGGCTCCCTGCTCTGCCATAAGCCGGCTTCTCCCTCTCCCACTCCCCCTCTGCTTGTGTTCTCTCTCTTGCTGTATCTCTGTCAAATAAATAAATAAAATCTTAAAAAAAAAAAAAAAGCTCTAGGTTGAGTTTGTAGAACCTGAATTTGAAAGCAGGAATGAATGCCAGGTCATTTAGTTCAGGCCTTTTATTTCAAAATAGGGACCCATGGCCCAGGGAGGGTAAGTGGTAGTTGTGGTCTCAGAACAAAACTCTAGGTCTCCAGCCTCACCCTGTGCTCTTGTCAGTGTTCTCCTGCACTTTTGTCTGTTTTTTTTTTTTTATAAAGATTTTATTTATTTATTCATGAGAGACAGAGGGAGAGAGAGAGAGAGAGAAGCAGAGGGAGAAGCAGGCTCCCAAGGAGCAGGGAGCCCGATGCGGGACTCGATCCCAGGACCCTGGGATCATGACCTGAGCCGAAGGCAGACGCTCAACCATCTGAGCCACCCAGGCGCCCCACTTTTGTCTGTTCTAACAACTCCTTTCATTCACATCCATGTATGTAGATGTATTCTATAAGGAACCCACTGAAAGGGCAGAAACTCAAGTTAGAGGTGAAAAATCAAACATTTCAACAAGTGGCAAAAAACACAATTATTCTCCCAAAGAGAAGAGACAAAGTATAGGTATTAAGGTAAATACACAGAAAAATCTAGACCTAATGAATGTTAGCCCAAGACAGATAACTGAATCAGGACAGCTGTAATCATTAGGATGTGGAGTGTCTGATCTGAGTGTAAACATTTCTTATAGCCACTGCTCAAGGGTTTCTTTAGGTAATCTGTCCAGCAATAATTGGTTGGCACAAAATATTTTTCTACTATTATTTTTTAATCTAGAAAAAGAAATGTACTTCTTATATACATAGGTTCTTCTCACTTCCTAACTCCAATTGTATGGAACTGATAAAGGGAAATGCCAAAAAGTAGAGAAGTCGGGATCAGTTTTCTAAGGCACAGGAAGAGAATCAGATGGTTGTATAAAGCTGTTTGGAACAAATGACGGTAGTTAACAAGAACAGTAAATATCATTTCTTTAACTATGCTATAAAAGTGGGTTTATGATCCAATATAAAACTCCAGCCTGGAAGACACTACAGCCTTTTGCCAACAGAGCCTGAGTATAGCCGTGTTGGCTTGTGTGCCTTTTTTTTTTTTTTAAAGATTTTATTTATTTATTTGACAGAGAGAGAGAGACAGCGAGAGAGGGAACACAGAGAGAGTGGCAGGCAGAGGGAGAAGCAGGTTTCCCGCCGAGCAGGGAGCCCGATGCGGGGCTCAATCCCAGGCCCCTGGGATCATGACCTGAGCCG